ATTAATTACACAGAGAATTAGGCCACTAAGATGGATGTGCATAGCTCATGATAAAGTCCACCCACGTGGAAAAATATGTCACATATATATGACTCTGAAAAGTAGAGAGAAAATAGCAGACTAGCTAGAAACTTGGGACCAAAAAAAAAAAAAACAACCCCAAAGAACAGTGAGGAGTACCCTGGGTTTTCTTTTTTCCCTTTCTATCCTAGATTGGATATTAGAGAAGGTGGCAACACAGAAACTCCAATAAGCACAGACAAGAGGCAGGAAACTGAAAAACCTCCCCCCCCCAAAAAAAAAAAAACCTTTCTCTAATCAAAAGACAAGAAAAGGGATATCCTAGCAAAACAGAATTTTAGACAAGAACAATCTATTTCAGCCAAATACCACAGATAAAAACTGCAGTTTCCATTCCCCTTCCCCTACCCCTTCAGTACTCAAGTAGACAGCCTCGACTTTTATTTTTACTCTTGCCAGTATATTATGTAGCATTCTAAATCCTGCCACCAGTGTGGTGTCGGAGATCAAGTGAGAAGCTAATAATTTCGTCCTGTGCCCAGAAATTCATCCATAAGTAGCAGTAACAAGGAATCCCATCCTTTCCTTGTAGGTATCAGAAACCTCCGGGAGAGGCAGGACCCCTACCACTCAGCAGTAAAGACAGCACACCTTCACAATCGGTGAAGACCCCATAAGAAATCTGATATTTTACCCTCATGCTATGGTAACCCAAAACTCTATCCCCTCCCCATTAGATGGTATCAGAGACTAGTCCAGTTGGGACTTCTCACCACTGGGTAACATGACTACCTTCCCAAAACATCAGTGGAATACAGATGGATAGTAGTAATAAGGAGCTTCTTCTCCCAACCAAGATGTATCAGTAAAGGCCTAGTTGGGAGCCTAAACTCCCACCTCAACCCAGGAGTAATGAGAGACAGCTCCTTCCTTCACCACCACTGGCCATCTATAGAGGCTAAGAGGAGAACTTTGACTTCTATCCTCACCAGCAGTAACAAGGCAGTACCATGTTTTATCCACTAGAATGGTGCCAGCAAAGTCCTGTGATAGCATAAGATTTACATAAGATCCAGTCTTGTAACATAATACCCACAATGTCCAAGTTTCAATATATATAAAAAAAAAATCACAAATACTAAAAATTAAGATTGCAAACTGAATAAAAAAACAAATGTCAACACCAAGATGGCACAAATGTTACAATTACCAAACAAGGATTTTGAAGCAGCCATCATAAAAGCTCTTGAATAATTACAAACATACTTAATGAAAAAAAAAATAGGAAGTCTCAGCAAAAAGATATAAGATATAAGATATAAAGAAAAAAAAAAACAAATGGAGCTTTAACAACTAAAAAAATAACTGGGGAAAAAAAAAAAACCACAACAGTAGAATGGAGAAACAGAAGAAATAATCACTGAATTAGAAGACAGAACACAAAAATTACCCAATCTATGAGAAAACAGATACCTCCCCCAAAAGAAAGGCCTCAGAAATTTATGGAACTTAAAATCTTGCTTTTGTGTCATTAGAGATCCAGAAGAGAAGACAGATGGGGTTAAAAAGTATTCCAAAAAACAATGGTTGAAAATTTCTCAAATTTGGCAAACAAACAAACAAAAAGAAAAACCCCACAGATTGACAAAGTACCTGCAAATAGGATATATGCAAAGACATCCATGCCAAAGTACATCTTATCAATCTTCTAAACTAAGACAAAAGAAAAAACTTGAAAGTAGCCAGAGAAACAATGCACTAATTACAGTTTTTTTTTTTTTAAATCAAAGACCATGGAAGCCAAAAGGAAAAGATACAATATTTTCCAAATACAAAAGAACAGTCAAATCAGATTTCACATCCAGCCAAAAATGCATCGGGAATAATGGTGAAGTCAAGACATTCTCAGATGAAGGAAATAAAATTTGTCGCCAGAAGCCCTACCCTAAAAGAATCAAAAAAGGAAGTTCTCTAAACAGAAAGGAAATAGATAAAAAGTACTCTACAAGACAATGATGAAGAAATCAAAGATGTAAATAAACAGACATTCCATATCCAGAGATTGGAAAACTCAATAGTATAAAGATGTCAATTCTCCCCAAATTGATACAGGTTTAATGAAATTCCTATCAAAATCCTGGCAAGATTATTAATTTTTTTATAAATACAAACAAAATCATTCTAAAATTTATATGGAAAGGCAAAGGAACTAGAGACAAAACAATTTTTTTGTGTTTTTACCAATTTTCAACAAGTATTCAAGTCTATCTCCAATAGCCATTTAAAAATACAGAATGCTTCATGAATCTGCTTGTCATCCTTGCAGAGGGGCCATGCTAATCTCTGTATCACTCCAATTTTTAAATTTAAATTAGCCAACATATAGTACATCATTAGTTTCATATGTAGTGTTCCTCAGTTGCATATAACATCCGGTGCCCAACACCCAATTACCCCATCCTCCTACTCCCCTCCAGCAACCATCAGTTTGTTTTCTAGTTTCTCATGGTTTTCCGCTGATGACTTCCCAGTTTTCCCTCCCTTCCCCTATGATCTTCTGCACTGTTTCTTATATCCTACATGAGCAAAACCATGTAACTGTCTTTCTCTAATGGACTTAATTTGCTCAGCAGAATACCCTCCAGTTCCATCCACATCAATGTAAATGGTAGTTATCCTTTTGGATGGCTGAGTAACATTACACTGTGTGTGCATATACACACACACACTTAACTTTCTATATATATATCCTTATCCATTCATCTGTTGGACATCGGGGACAGTCTGGCTATCATGGACATTGCTGCTATAAAATTGGGGTGCAGGTGCTCCCTCAGATCATCACATTTGTATCTTTGGGGTAAATACCTACTAGTGCAATTGCTGGGTTGTACAGTAGCTATATTTTTAACTTCTTGAGGACTCTCCATATTGTTTTCCATATATTGTTCCAATTTTAGGATATATGCTGCCGAAGCGAGCACAAGCCAAAACAATTCTGAACAAGAATCATGTGAGAGGAATCACTCTACCTGATTTCAAAACTGATTATGTAGGCACAGAACTAAAGACTATGTTTTATTGGTGGAGGGACTGAGACAATTAATGGGGCAAAGAACTCAGAAGACCCGATACAAGTATGACTAACAGATTTGTGACAAAAGTGCAAAAGATATTCAGTGGAGGAAATGCAGTCTTTACAAACTAATGGTGCTAAAATAATATCAACAGTCAAAAAAATAAATCTTGATCTAAACCTCACACCTCATACAAAAATTAACTCAAAATAGACCAGAGACTTAAACGTAAAACAAATTATAAAACTTGTAAAAAATCGTAATCATAATATAGGAGAAAATCTTCAGGATCAAGGGCTTGGATAAGAGTCCTTGAACATTACACCAATACCATGAAAAGGGTGGGAGGAAACCCAATTAAGATGGACTTCATCAAAATGAAAAACTGTTGATTTCCACAAGATTCTGTTAAGAGCATAAAAGGCAACAGAAAATATTGCAAACCACGTATCTGACAAATAACTCCTACCTAAAATAAACTACTCTTAGAATTCAACATTGTAAAAACAATCCAAATAGAAAATAACCAAAAGAAATGAAGAAATATTTTACCAAAGAGGAAATATGGATGAGAAATAAACATGAAAATATGTGCAACATCATTAGCCATTAGGGAAACGGAAAGAACCATGAGACACACTCCCATCAGAGGAGCTTAAAATAAAAATTAACACTACCAAATGTTTATGAGGATGTGAAGAAACTGGATTTCTCATAAATTGCTGATGAGAATATAAAATGGTACAGCCATTCTGGAAAACAGTTTGGCCATTTCTTTTTTAAAAACTAAAGATAAACTTACCACTCAACACTCCCAGTTGTTTATCCCAGAGAAATGAAAACTCATCCGTGTAAAAACTTATACACATTGGTTCGTAACAGCTTTATTTATAATAGCCAAAAACTGGAAATAATCAAAACGCACTACAATGGGTAAATAGCTACACAAACTGTGGTACATAAATAGCATAGAATATAACACAGTAATAAAAAGGAATTCCTACATGCAAAAACTTGAATGCATCTCAAGGAAGTTATGCAGGGATGGTGGGGGAGGGGGGATAAATCCCCCAAAGTAATAACCTGTATGATTCCATTTAAAAAATGATAAAATTATAGAGATGGAGAAAAGATTAGTGATTGCCACGGTTTAGGGATGGGGGGGAGGTGAGGGTCAGTGTCCATAGAAGGCTAAGCGTTAATTTTAAAAGAACAGCAAGATGGAGAACTTACTGGTGACGAAATAATTCTGTTATCTTGACTATAGTTGTGGTTACACAAATCTATACATAATAAAATTACACCCACACTATGCTAATATCAAATTCCTGGTTTGGATATTATACTATAACTACTCAAAATGTAACCATCGGGGAATAAAAATAACTATCAGATACGAAATAAACTTCTTAAGGATTCTTTAGGGGGAAATGAAACACCCATCTATTAAACTTACTTAAAATAAGTCCGTTTGCTCTGTTTTTAGCTTGGGAAGAGATCAAGGTTTTGAAAGCACCTTGCGGATGTTTCTAGTTGAGAAATGTCATTTATTGTGTAAAGTAAAAATTGCATTGCTAATGTGAAGGCATTAAATAATTAAAATCAGTATTAAAATGTACCTAGATTGACTGCACATAGTCTTTCTTCAGAAATTAAATTTTGTCCGTAGTTAATTGTAACTAAATCTAAATCCTTTATAAACAATTCTAACACATCTCTTCAAACTACTTCCTATAGCAAATGTCATTTGTATGTAAAACATTTGTAATACAAACAAAATGGAAGTAAAAGGAGACCACTGAGAGTGAATGAAACAATTCCTCAAAAAAAAGTTATATAGTCCTATGTATATGCTTGAGATATTCCAGTATCAGTAAAAAAATATACAAATACACACATCTCTCAAATAGTCAATATTTTAATACAAAATATTAACTGATAAGTAAAAAGTGCCTTCACAGTCTGTTACCACCTAATATATAATTTTCAAACATGTGTTCTTTGACTTTTAACCTCTGCTCTTCTTTAGAATTACCTGTGAGGGGGAAAAAAAAAATGAAGATTCATATTATACCCAAGGCATATAAAACAAAACTCAACAAAAAGTTAAATCATCTTATGTACATAATATGCAAGCCTGAGTTTATAAAACTCAATTTGGAAGGTGATTATGGAATCATCTGCCTTATAAAAGATCCTAGACTTCCCTAAAATAATCCACTTCTCTGAAAACATGGGATACATACAATTCTGAAAATCTGGCTTTATAGTCACTTCTGAATGTCAATTTCTTCAAATGTAAGCCCAAAGTACCCAGACTAATGGTTCCCAACTTGAGGTTCATAGACAATTCAGTAATCTAGGGAGTTAAAAAATGTTCCAAGCGTCAAAAATCCTATTATAAATCAGACATTAACAACTATAAAGCAATAAAAAATCCAATGCAACACACCAAATTTCTTATATTTGACCTGTAATTATATGAATTTAGAGACCAAGACCGTCAGCTTATGCTAAAAAAACTCATTAGGTTGACAATTTTCAAAACATTTGGCCCATGAGAAAATAAAATCAGATTTTTGGCTATAAAAGACTGGAAGCATTAGATCAGAATATATCCAGAAAATTCTTCAAAGAACTTACCTATTTCTAGGTTAAGTACATCTATGATGAAAAGAAACCCTAAATTTAAAATATACACATATACTCTTCAAGCTCTTAAGCTTTACTTTTACCTGCAGGAATAAAAATGCCTATATTGCTTTTAGTCTAGAAACCTATTAGAATATAAGCAAATTTAAAGCCCCTAAAAAAACTACCAGGGCATGCACACTTCTAGGCTTCCACAGAGATCATCGAATCAGTCTATATCCCAGGCCAATACTTGTAGTTCTCTGGTTTTACAAGGTACACGGGAGGGATGCCTGCGTGGCTCAGCAGTCGAGCGTCTGCCTTTGGCTCAGGGCGTGATCCCAGGGTCCTGAGATGGAGTCCCACATCAGGCTCCCTGCAGGAGAGGAAGGGACATTCTCCCTCCACCTCGCTCTCTGCATCTCTCATGAATAAATAAAATCTTTAAAGAAAAATTAAAATAAAAAATAATAATAAAAGGTACACGGGAACTCTATTATTTTTGCATCTTCTGTGAGCCTACAGTTATTTCAAAATAAAAAAATATTAAAAGTCTACAGTGACTGTCAAAAATAAGTCTCTTCCCCACATCATTCCCCCAGTCAACCACAGTTGCCAATTTCTTGCATAACTAGAAATAACCTCTCTATATAACATTGTGACTATTCAAAGAAATACAGTATATCATCTAAATTTAACTGACTCCCAAAGCTTTTTATAGTACAGCATCTATTAAAATCAAAGGAAAATAATGATCTTGGACACATATTTGCAAAGAACTATCCTATCATACTCTTAACACTATACAGAGACACCAGTAAGAAGCAATTTTCTCTGCTTCTGTAAGTGATTTAAGTCACTCAAATCACAAAGTTAGAAAAACAAATAAGTAATCAGAAAAACTCAAAATGATCAAGAAGTTTTCATAAATTTCAAGGTGATAAACCTTCTCAAATATATACAGCCTACTATAAATCATACAGATTAGGAGCCATTCATTTCCCTTAAGTAATGATAAAGCATGGCCATGAATATTTCATAGAAATATTCAGAAATCCATAATATGGACATATAAAAAAAAAAAAATCTCCCCAATTAAATTCATTAACATAGAAAGCCAAGCATCCCCCAACTGTCGACAGCTGCCTCGGTTGCTGTGTAACTAGGCAAGTGTTACACTGCTAGAACAGCAGCGGATAACTGGTTGGCATTCTGGGCCTAATTCATCCCGAATCTGTTAACTATACACCAGGATGCCTGCATAATTGGGGGGGGGGGGGGGGCAAACATCAGTCAATAACCTGAATAAGGAATCCAAAACAGAAGTGATAAACTAGATATTTTTTTAAGTTAATTCCTGCTCAAGAGAAGAAAGTCAGATTTTACCTTTGCTGCAGCCTGTACATGCTCTTTTTTAATGACTCCATCCTTATTCTCAAAAGCATTCATTCTGGACTCTTCTGCTAACCGATGAACAAACAGTAAACAATTCAGATGCACCTTTAAAAACGAAATCAAAAGAATTTTTAAATTCAAAAAAAAAAAGAATTTTTAAGTTCAAACACTTAAACTCTGAAATATTGATTTTTAAAAATAAGATTCCAAGATTTATTGTAATATTTACTGGTGTGCTTAAGTGAATTTACTTTTTAAAGAATTCGATTTAATTTTTTTTAGGAATTTATTTTTTATTGGTGTTCAATTTGCCAACATACAGAATAACACCCAGTGCTCATCCCGTCAAGTGCCCACCTCAGTGTCCGTCACCCAGTCACTCCCACCCCCCGCCCACCTCCCCTTCCACCACCCCCAGTTCGTTTCCCAGAGTTAGATAAATTCAACTTAAATTCCACACAAGAGACTTAGTTACTGCAATACATGAACCAAGGATATAATAAGGCTGATCAAAGGCCCTAGATGATAACATCATCGTAAAGAATAATTATAAAGCTTATGTAAGATTCTATTAAGTAGCAAATATTCTTGCTCCCAAGTCCAAATAAATTTAAATTTATAATGTAATTTCCCCAAAACTTAAAATCAACACTTAACAACTATGTTTAAGGTTAATCATCTCTCATTCTACAATCCATGGATTTAACATTTTTTAACCCGATATTTAATTCAAAATATCTATTCAAAAACATGTTAATTGAAATGTTAAGTTTACTGATGTAAAAAATACATGTATAAAGGTCAAGTTTACTTGTCATCCAACATATCAAAATAATCATATCTACTATTTATAATCTTTAATGAACTTTTTGAGAAATTAAACATTATTTAGGTACAATTAGACAATATCTTTAATATATTAGTCTTTTACATATTACTCTTTGCAGTTAAAACAATACTTGTATAATATTCACTATGTGTGCTACATACAACCACTCCCTCACAGTTCACTAAATATTAAATAACTAGGTAATGTGGTGTTTTAAATTCAAATATTATGCAAAAATCTTTAGTGGATGGTTACAGATGTCTAAGAAGGTTTTAGTGATATGTGGAAAAAAATAGTTTGGGAATTTAAATTTAATAAGATAAAGAACCTATGGACAAAGACCTTCCTTTGGTACTTTTTTCATGCATGGTCTTCTTTAATTGTCACAAGAACTCTAGGGGAAAGCACTTAATTCTGATTATGTAATACCATGTAATTCAATTCTTTGTTAAACTTCTAATGACATCCCATTTCTATTGCAGCAAAAAACAATCTATAATATGGTACAATTTCCTGTTAATCTAGTTTTCCTACTTCTAAGAGACATAGCTTCCAGATATGCCCAGGATAAATTCCTTAATACTAAATGACTAGGCTTTCCCAGTTAGTTTCATCGTTCAACTTACAGCTCTACAGTAAGTCTTTTGAACTTCTTTCCGTATTCAAATAAAACCTTGCCTACAGGCATCCTAGTAGTTCCTAAACTTCTCTGAAAAGTCCAAATAAGGTTATGCACCCTGAACTTCCTACCACTGCACACACTATATACACCATGCAGCAATTTCTATCTTCCTCAATGAAATATAAAGGTAAGAACTATGTCTATCTTCCCCAACATTGTATCCTCAGTAATTTTAGTCCATAGCACAATATACAGTGGGTGGTCAATAATTATCACTGCAAGAAAAAAAATCCCTCCATATCTCCCCAAATTACACACAAAAAAGTTTTAGTCACTCCCCAATAAACCACACTGTTTTAGAGAACTGACGGGTGTCACAGAAGAGAGGGGGGAATGAGCAAAATGGGTTTAGAAGTGTAGAAGATGTAGGCTTCTAGTCATGTAATGAATAAGTCATGGGTATAAAAGGTACAGCTTAGGGAACACAATGTATTGTAATAGCACTGCACGGTAGTGGCAGCTACACTTGTGAGCATAGAACACAAACTTGTTGAATCACTAAGTTGTACATAAACTATACTTCAATTTTGAAAAAATGAAAAGCAAAAATGCAAAGGGGAAAAAAAACCCACACTGTTTTGAGAGTTGGTTCACCCTATTAACCTACAAGGAAACTCTTTTCCTCTTCATAAACATGAGCCATAGGTCCTGAGACAAATAAATATTGCTTTCTCGATTGTCACAGAAATTTTTTTAAGCAACCTAATCCTAACCCTCTCTCATAAAATAGTTAATTGAGTGGTGCCACTCAAATGCACTAAGATTTTTAAGACATTTGTTTTAGAGAGAAAGCTCATGCAAGGGAGGAGTAAAAGCAAAGGGAGAATCTCAAGCAGACTACCTCCTGACCACGGAGCCCCATGCAGAGCTCGATTTCAGGACCCTGAAATTGATTTCAGAACCTGAGCGGAAGTCAAGAGATGGATGCTCAACCAACTGAGCTACCCAGGCACCCCTGTACTACAGTTTAAATTAAAATAGTCAAAACAAGGGACACCTGGGTGGCTCAGTAGTTGAGCATCTCCTCTGCCTGCAGCCCAGGGCGTGATCCTGGAGACCCTGGATGGAGTCCCACGTCAGGCTCTCTGCATGGAGCCTGCTTCTCCCTCTGCCTGTGTCTCTGCCTCTCTCTGTGTCTCTCATGAATAAATAAATAAAATATTAAAAAAAAAAAAGTTCTTGTGACAAATGCGAGGAGGTACCGCTCACGGTTTAAACCCTGGGGAAGGGGATCCCTGGGTGGCGCAGTGGTTTGGCGCCTGCCTTTGGCCCAGGGCGCGATCCTGGAGACCCGGGATCGGATCCCACATCGGGCTCCCGGTGCATGGAGCCTGCTTCTCCCTCTGCCTATGTCTCTGCCTCTCTCTCTCTCTCTCACTGTGTGCCTATCATAAATAAATAATAAATAAAAAATTAAAAAAAAAAATTTTAAACCCTGGGGAAGGAGAGGACCCCTGGGTGGCTCAGCAGTTTAGCGCCTCCCTTTGGCCCAGGGTGTGATCCTAGAGTCTCAGTCAGGCTCCCTGCACGGAGCCTGCTTCTCCCTCCTCCTGTGTCTCTGCCTCTCTATGTCTATAATAAATAAATAAAATAAATCTTTAAAAAAAAAATAAAAATAAAAAAATAAACCCTAGGGAAGGAGCGTTTGTCCTGCTGGAGAAACATATGCTCCGGGCGTTCGACATAGAAACTGCACATTTATCTCAAGACAGAAAATACAACGCGGTGGTTTGGTCTGGGTTTGGTTCATCGGGCACTGCTGGCGGTGGGAGCCAGGAGTCGGTGGTTTGCCTTCAGTCGCCAACTAGCAGGTGCTCCGCTTTGTCCGGGGGAAGGAATTCACAGCTGAAAGCACACGACGTACAGGTGAGCCGGAGCCGGGGTTCCGCGGGGAGGAAGCTCGGGGACGGGGCCGGGTGGCGGGGGGAGATACAGGCTTGGTGGACAACGGAGGAAGCAGGGAAGGCAGGCAAGGAGGGACGCGCCTAAAAGGGCAGGTCAGCAATGCCCTACACAGCAGTTGACGGAACCCGGGCAGAATTCCCAAATTAATTCTTTTCTTTTTAAAAGATTTTATTTATTTATTCATCAGAAACAGAGAGAGAGAGAGAGAGAGAGAGAGAGAGAGAGGGGCAGACACACAGGCAGAGGGAGAAGCAGGCTCCCTGCGGGGACTCGATCCGGGGTCACGCCCCGGGGCCGAAAGCAGGTGCTAAACCGCTGAACCACCTAGGGAACCCCCCCAAAAAAATTAATTTTCTTTAAGATTTTATTTATTCATGTATTCATAAGAGACACAGGCAGAGAGAGAAGCAGGCTCCATGCAGGGAGGCCCACGCGGGACTCGAACCCGGGAACCCCGGGGTCACGCCCGGGCGGAAGGCAGGCGCTGACCCGCCGAGCCTCCAGGGGTCCCCGCCTCCCCCCCCATCAACTCCTTACCCCGTAGCCTTCCGGCCCTTCGCGGCGGCGGCCGGCCACGCCCCGGGGAAAGGGACCGCGCGGAGGCCGAGAGCAGGCGGCGAACGCCGGCTCCCCCCGGACGCGGCCCCGACACCCACCCGTCGGCGGCACCAACGGCCGGAAGCGCCCTCCACGGGGGCGGGGCAGGGTAGGGGTGAGGGGGGTAAGGTAGGGGGGTGATGGGGTAGGGGGGCGGGGTGCGGGGGAGATGGGGCTGGGGTGAGGGGGTAGGGGAGGGGGGTGATGGGGGAGGGCGGGGTCCGGGGCGCCCGCCGGCGTTTACTCTCCCTCCCGCCCCGCCCCGGGGCCATCGGCTCACCAGGAGGTCGCCACCCGTCTCCAGACGTAGCTGCGGCTTCTGTCGCCGGAAGAGGCGCCTGAGGAAGGCCCGGGGCGCCTTCCGCCTTACGTGCGTCCTCCGGGACAGCGCGCCCGAAACCGCCATGGCTCCCCGCCGCCGCGACACCCCGCCCGCAGCGTTTGAATCCCGCGCCGCAGGAGCGCGCCCGGCGCTCGGCAGTGACGTCAGCCCGGCGCCAGCCCCGCCCCCGGAGCCCGCGGCAGGTCTGGGGGCACCCGGAAGGACTCGGGCGGGATGCTCTGCCGGGAGCGGGAGCCCGCAAGTCCCGCCTTTACTTGCTCGCGCTTGGTCTTGCTTGAGACCTTTTCGTGACCCTGACTTGAGTTTTGTTTTTGTTTTTTTTTAATACTACTGCCCACTTTCATGGTAGGGCCCCTGCCCTTTACCTTTGCAATCACTTTACATGCAGTTTTTTTTTTAAGATTTTATTTATTTATTCATGAGAGACACAGGCAGAGGGAGGAGCAGGCCCCCTGCAGGGAGCCCGATGTGGGACTTGATCCCGGGACCCGGGGTCACGCCCTGGTGACCTACCCCACCCCACCCCCGCGCCTGGCTGCCCCCTAGATGCAATTTAAATGCCACGCCGTTCAAACCTTTGCTGCGTCTCCCAACAATTTTTGCATCCCATGTTCTGTCTCCCTGATATTTCCCACTCATTTTTTCTCCTTTCCCCTTTAGTCCCTTTCACTATTTTTTATATTCCCCAAATGAATGAGACCATATAATGTTTGTCCTTCTCCGATTGACTTATTTCACTCAGCATCATACCCTCCAGCTCCATCCAGGTCGAAGCAAATGGTGGGTATTTGTCGTTTCTAATGGCTGAGGAATATCCCATTGTATACATAGACCACATAACTCCGGGAAACGAACTAGGGGTGGTGGAAGGGGAGGGGCGGGTTGGGGTGACTGGGTGACAGGCACCGAGGGGGGCACTTGATGGGATGAGCCCTGGGTGTTATTCTATATGTTGGCAAATTGAACACCCATAAAAAATAAATTTATGAATAAATAAATAAACAAATAAATAAATAAATAAATTTTTGCATCCTCTGTGCTGCCAGTGCAAGTGGTTCCTAGACTTCATCGTGCTCCGCATGGAGCATGTGCGTGGGTGGGGGGGGTTCTGATTCCACGGATAGGGATGGGCGTGAGCAAGTGGTAGGTCACGTTGACCCTGTTAGTGTGTGCACATGCGCAGGGTGTAATGCCCGTGATCATTATTCCTAACACCTGGCAATTGGCGTGATAGCCACGTCCCCGCGCGGTCCCTCCCGCCTCTGCCCCCCACTCCCGTGTCCGCGACCCCCTCTCTGCCCGTGATAGCACCTTTCACCCTGTGGGCCGCTCTCCCCCCGCAGTCACACCAGGGCTTGTCACCACCAAGTCCCACACCCTCCCATACCCTCAGTCTTCTCACTCTGCACCCTCCTCGGTGGGTTCAGCTCACTCCTCCTCCCAGTGTCCCCAATCCAGTGATGCTAGATGCTCACGCGCCACCTGGATGGGCTAGCAGGCTCTTCCTTTCTTTGCCCACCGGGCCACCAACCCTTCTCTTCTGCTTATCCTCCCTCCTGCGGCCTGTTGGGCATTATTATATTTCCTTTCAGTTCTCAGCTCTCTAGCCATTCTCTTTCCTTCCACTTATAGTCGCCTGACCAACCGCCAACCCTGCTTAAATTAACATCTCGGTCTGTTGGGTGCTTTCAACTGAGCCTTGATATTTTGGCTTAAGAAAATCACACAGACCGGCCCGGGTCCGGTCTCTGCTTAAATTTATGAGCATTCGAGTGGGCCTTACAGATTACCTGCAATCTTTTGCTATCTGCTAAGTTCTTCCATCCACCCATCCTTTTCCACAAACCTCCCTCCTTCACTCCTATCCCTTCCTCACTGACCTCAGTTGATGTCATTGCTTCCCTAGTTTGACAAACAAACTAGAAGCACCTCATAAAGACTTTCCGAATACTCCCACCACCACCTCTACCCATCAGGCTTCACTTGCTCCCATGAATGAACCATCTAAGATGTCCACTCCGCGTGTGCCCTAGATCCCAGTCCCCTCCCTTTCTTAAGGACCTTCAATTCTCTCTTCTTCTACTTTATGAATTTTCCTTTCTTGCTGGTTTTTTTTTCCCCCTCTGTACACATGTTGTAATGTCTACCCTTTTAAAGACTTTTTTGGGGGACACCTGGGTGGCTCAGTCAGTTAAGTGTCTGCCTTCAGCTCAGGTGGTGATCCCAGGGTGCTGGGATCGAGCCCCACATCGGGTTCCCTGCCCTATGGGGGGGCCTGCTTCTTCCTCTCCCTGCTGCTCCCCCTGTTTGTGCTCTCTCCCTTCCCCCCCCGTAAAATAAATAAATTTTAAATTTTTTTAAAAAAAACCTCTTTCTTGATCCCATCTTTGGTTACTGCCCTTTGACAAAAAAACTAGAAAGCATTGGCTAAATTTGATGTCTCCAGTTCCTTTACTTCCATTTTCCCCTAAAGCTACTACAATCAGACTTTTGTTCTTATCTCTCAAAATTGTTGTATGTCAACATAAGTAAGAATACTTTTAACTCCAGTGGCCAATTCTCAGACTTCAGTTTATTTGACTAACAAGGAGTATCAGTTGGGTTTTATAATTCTTCCTTCCAGGAAACATTTTCTTTAATTTGATGCTATTCTCTTTTGGTTTTCTCCTACTTGACAACCATTCATTCTCCATTTCTGGTTTCTCCTTGTGTCCTTTATCTCTAGATACTGAAGTTCCCCGGAGCTCAGTCATCAGATTTCTTCTCTATCTACACACTCTTCCTATGTGATCTCATCCGTGACTTTAAGTACCAATTTTACATCTCCTGCTAATTCTCTTCCCTAATCAGACCTTTATATCCAATTCTCCACTAGGCTGGAATTTTAAGTTACCTAAATTTAACACATCCAAAATTAGCTCTTGATAATACCCTATATCCCAAACCTGCTCCTAACACCAACTTCTCTACCACAGCTGACGGCACTTCCATTTTTCCAATTACTCAAGCCAAAATCTTGGAATCATCCTTGGCTTCTCTCTTTCTCTCACCCCACACTCAATCTTTCAACACATTTTGTGAGCTCTGTTTGTGGTATCTGATCCCTTTTGGCCAAGTCACCTTCATCTCTCACTTGGATTATTGCAACACCCTCCTGACTGTGTCTCAGACTGTTTCTATTTATCCTGGACAGAAGAGCCAGGTTTAACTCAGATTATGTAACTCTTCCCCTCAAACCCCTTCCATTTCCATCAAAATAAAAGTTCCTACAATGACTTTTCAGGTTTACCTGCCTGCCAAGTACAAACACACATACAAATGCAGAATGAACTCTTTGACCTTATCTCCCACAATTAAGCAACTCACTCTCCTCCAGCCGTATTAGCATCCCCGATAGCCTTCAGACACACCTGAAATCCATCATATACACCAACTACTCCCCCATCAGGTGTTTGCACTTATTATTCCCTCTGCCAAGAATGCTTTTTCCTCATTTACTCGCAGAAGTGTCTCCATCACTTCCTTCAAGTCTCTGCTCTGACAAGGATCAGAGAGACCTCCTATTTAAAATAGAAACTCCACACATGAATACACATATACACCTAGACACACACATGTGCACATGCACAGACACAGGTCTGACAGTGTGCAAAAGCTGACTTGTCTTCTTAGCACTGTGTTCAGTGACGTTATGTTGGTAGCCAAAAGTATTTACACCACTGGAATTGGAAAATGCACAAATCAGGGATTTTTTTATTGTGTCTTTTGGAAAAGAAATTCTTAAACGTTTACCAACATAACACTGCACATATCCCCGCTGATATAAACATCCTTTCTGTGGTTTACTTTTCTCTATAGCACTTTTCACCATCTAATATGGCTTCTGCATATAGAAAACTGTTATTGTAGTTTTACTTATGATAGAAATAATTGGAGACAGTTATTATTCATTAAGAGGGGAATGGAAATACCTATTGTTGTATATCTTAGTTTCCTAGCATTACTGTAACAAATTACCACCCATGTAATGGATTCAAACAGTGCAAACTTACCATCTTTCAGTATTGCAGGTCAGAAATCCTAAAATCAGTGTCAGCAGTCTGCCTTCCTTCTGGAGGCTCTGGGAAAGTGTCTGTTTCCTTGCCTTTTCTAACTTGTAGAGGCCGTTTCCATTCTTTGGCTCAAGGCCCTTCCTCCACCTTCAAAACACATCACTCTACTTTCTGTTTTGATCACATCTTTTTCAGACTTTGATCTGCTGGACATCTTCTAAGAACCCTTGCTATCGCATTGGGCCTACCCAGATAATCCAGGATTATCTACTCATCTCCAGATCCTTAACTTCATCACATCTGCAAAGTCTCTTTTGCCAAGCAAGGTAACATTTTCAGATTCTGGAGATTAGGACATAGATATCTTTAGGGGGAAGGGGAGCATTGTTCTGCCTACTACATACTCTCTTCTGGGACTTCAGTGGTGGATATGGTTTATATCTGCTCTGTCCAATACAGTAGCAATATGTGGCCATTGAGTATTTGAAATATGGCTAGCATGATTAACAATATTAATTTTATTTAAATGTCATTTCCATTTACCAGCTACATGTCATTAGTAGCTACCATATTGGATGGTGCAGTTAGAGAAAACCAACAAGTAATTCCAACAAGTAATTCCCTCTTACACTTTTGTAGGTGGGTGGAACCCAAGCAATAGGATTCAAAGAGAACTTTCAATTTATCTGCACTTTCTATAATGTGAGTACTTTTTTCTAATTTTTACACATTTAAAACAATATTTATGTAGGGTATAACAGTAATAATTGTATTTATCCCTCTAGTGAAGCATGTCCCTACATATTATAGTATTTGATCTAAACAAAAGTATGGTATTGGTATGGCTGTTATGGGTGTTACTATTTCTATTGTATGTGAAATTAAATGATCACAGAGCTTGAATGGCCCAAAGTAAAAAAGTTTATGTGGAAAATTTAAGGCATTAACTCTGATGTTTTCGTTTTCCAATATGTTATACTATCTTAAAACATAAGAGAAGTGTTCAAATTCTGCTCAATTGCTTTCCTTTAAAAAAAAACTTCTTATTTTTTTTT